TGCTGATAATAGAGACGTTCTGGAGTAAGTCTTCCCAGAAGAAAACCTGCTGCTGTGACTGCCTCCGTCACCCCCAAAAAACTTTTGACAGCAGTTTGGATATCCAAATATCCCTATTTATTGTAGTGTTTCTCAAGTTGCTGTGTAAGTTCAGTTAAGAGATTAAGGTAATGAATGAAAACACTGGTAACAACTGTTCTATTCTTGTGGCCTGTAAATATTTTTCTGGCCACAAACTGTTAATTTTTAAACTTCCTTCTGCTAGAACAAATAGCTGTTGAATACTTAAATATAGTAATAGCACAGTCAGCTATACAGAAACTTGTTCTTGTCTTGAGATTAAACACTAGAAGCCAGCAGTTGGATGTACTAAAAACTAACCATTTTGTTACAGGAAAAACTGGTATCTTCCTGCTCCAGAAATTTTACCATCTAGCCCTGTTGGCTTTAAAGTTCTGGCCAAAGAGCTAATGCCTTGGAACTCTGTGAGGATAAGTTTTGAAGTATCTGGTGAGTGACTGAAGCTTCTCACTTGTGGTTGGGTTTTTTTTTTTTTTTAAACCTTTTTTTTCTTAAATTTTCATTAAAAAGTCAGATTTTGTTTCCAGTACTGAAGGTTATTGTGGCATTCCTAAGGCCAGCTTGACTGGCTTTGTGTGACTGGCACAAATTAATTCAGTCTTATAACACACTAGAAGCTATGGGTGTACATATTGCAGTTGTTAATTGGAGGACTGGTACCTTGTCTATTTGGAGTAAGCCTGAATCTTTTTTAGCTAGTCCTTTTTTGAAGTCTATTCTATAGCAAAGAAAGAGAGGGACAGAGCTATCTCATTTATTATCTCACTTCTCCGACATAATTGAAGCTTCTTCTATGGAGAATACAATAGTTTAGCTGTGTCGTCTTTTGGAAACTATAAGATAGTATTATAGAGACTACATGTTACCATTTAGGAATATAGGTTGTTGGAATGAAAGGAAGTTGGGTAGATGGTTTTTCCACCCTTGTCTGTTCACACGTATAGATAGATACATTTGGCTTTCTGTAGGGCCCAGTCACATGTCGCTGTATATTCGACCACACAAAGGGTCAACTCTGTCCAGCTGGTCTCTTGGAGATGGAACGCCGATTGCTAGCGTAGGAGGGGATTACTTTGTGTTTTACTCCCATGGCCTGCAGGCTGCACCATGGCACTTCTGGATAGAATTAACAGTGAGTATACCACTGTTGGAAATTCTTGATCTGTCCCAGTGTCACCACTTCTGCATTCCTAAGAGTGAAAAATGTTATAACAACTTTCTTAGACTTTGCTTTATTTCAAAGTTCCTAATTCTAGCTTCTCTATCTCTTAGTTTGTCCCTCTGCCCTGTATCAGTTCACATCTATCTTAATGCTTTTGTCCACTAACTTTTCAGATAGCCAAAAGGAGAAGACTTTTCCTTATTTCTTTTGATAACTTCTGCAGTCTTGGGTCTGAAATTAGAATTTCTCTGATCTTAACCTCTTATTTTTTGAAGCTTTGTCTTTATTCTTGTTATTTCTTAATCCATTTTCCTGTTGTAAGTGATTTCTTTTCCATACTCTCTGTGTGCATGGTATTCTTTTTAGTTTAGTTTGGTTTTTCTTTTCATTTTTTGGTTGTTGTTGAGTGTTTGTGGGTTTGTTTGTTTTGAAATTAGAGTGCACAGTGGGAAACCCAACTGTCCTGAAGCCGAAGAGAATCATAAAGGCTTTGTTTTCCTAATTTCCTTTTGATTTTGTTTTTCTGAATGCAAAGCTTTCAGCATTCCTACTTAAGTAGGATTTAGAGTTTTACTCCCAACTGTCAAATTGCCAGTGAAGAACTTTTTGCGAACCTGTAAGTTTTTATTCCAGGTTTAACAGTGTCTTATTCCTTGAGAATTATTACAAGGACCTATGAATGTTCAGGAATTCCCTTGTTCCTTCTTGGATCAGGCATCCTAAACACTTAGAAAGTACCCTCAGAGGATCACTTGGTAAAGATGGACAGGAATCTGCAGGACAGCTGGCTTTGCAAGATTGCCCTGGCAAAGCTAGGCAGAAAAGGCTTTTCAGGCTAAAGGTAACACAATAGGATGATCAGTATAAATGCTAAGTTGGGCTCCATATCTTGATTTGTCATACTGGCTTCCTAAAAGATACAGATGTTGAGTTTTGAGCCTGTGCAAGCTATGTAAACGTGTCAGAAGCACTGTGATCTCAATATCTAGTTGAGTTCAATTTGAATTGAACTTGCACTGTGTACTTAGTGATACATTTGAGGATACTGGGAATGTTTTAATATATAGAACAATGACTTGTGGTGTCAAGTTTGTTGCATAAATATTAAGTCTGTGGAAAGGGATATCTGGATTAACTTTATATTTGGAAGGCATAAACAAATCTTGAATGTGGTGTTACAGCTCTTTCTTACTTTCAGGCTTCCGAAAAGGGCACTGATGGAATAGTCTCCCTTGCCATAGCAGCACATTATTTCTTTGGGGAAAATCAAAAGTCGCCTCAACTCTATGCCTTACTGGAGAGACTTCCAAACTGGACATTTTCTTCTGGCTGGTCCTGCACTTACGACCTTTTTGTCTTTTAATGTTGCAGTACTGCAAAGAACAGGCAGATCTCCCTGTCATAGGATGCTGCTGTAGTAAACTTTGAAATTTTGACAAGAAGCCTCTCCCCTTCATGAGAACTTAAGTACTTTGACGGCAAATGGTGTTTCTCTGGCAGTTTGACTAGTTGAAGGCTAATTCGGGCTACTACTCTCTGGGTTTCTGGGAGAAATGCAGTGCTCCATGTTGATGCAGATACAGTTCAGCTGTTTCTTCCACTGAAATGGCAGTTTGACTAGTGCGGTTCTTAACAGGAAGACTGCATTCAGGGAGGTAATATTAGCATAATACAATGGCAGTTGTAATGAGAAGGGCCTCATGAAGAAATTACTTTGTTACACAGAATATGACCATACTTCATGTATGTGTGGGGACTACCACCTACCAATGCTATCCGTCCTATTAAAGCAAGACCTTCAGCTAAAAGGTGATTGTTTACATGCTAGGGGGGTGGCAAAATACTTCTGTCACTAGAGGAAGTCACTGGAAGCTGTAAAACCTGTCTTGGTTGCGTTCCCAGTCATTGGCAAATGCATAATGCAGAAAACGAGGTATTATGGAATGTGGTAACTATTCATCTGGATTGTTTTTCAAATTTCATCTTTATGTTAAAAACTTAGTGCCTACCCTTTTGCCTATCTGTTTAGCGTTGCAACTTGAGTAGGAAAGTTTGAGCAAACTACCATCTTACACTTGTTCCTGTTGGGATCTTTTAAGTATCAGCATATTAGCATGTGACTTGCCATCTTTTGTATAAGAGTGCTGAGTCACCACTCGTTTGTGTAGATGTCTTATAATTAATTCCAAACTTCTGGTTATAAACTTACAGTTTATTAGAATTGGCTGTATTTTTGGTATCTCCTTTGGAGAGACTTCTGGTGCTGTGACAGTATTGCAGTTTAATACTTTCACATTTAACTTTTTTACAGGATAGTTTGCTTTCCATAAGGAAAAGTATCAAGAAGAGTCTTTTAAAAAAGAGTATCTAATACCTGTGGATTGCCTTATTTCCACAGGATGAGGTTTACAAATGACCTTAAGTGATTTTTACAATAGCTTCCAATTTTAATTGGCAAGCCTTGAGGTATGAAGGTATTTACCTGTTTTTTATCCTCAAGGTGCTGTGCTCAAAAGGAAGGGGGGGTCAGTGCAATGTTAACACCTGTTCCTGAAATTCAACAAATGCTCTGTATCTGAGGAAACTTCTTATATTGTTTTTCCAAGCTAAATATAAAATATTCTGTAACATCAACACCACACTATAATACAGACTTCATGTTTTGCTCATCTCGTGAGCATTGCCAAGTAGCATGCAAAGCAGCTTTTTGTGCGTGCATCCTCATATTACATATTACTATGAGGATGATTTATATTAAGTAAAAAAGCATTAGTATTGGGAAGTCTGCGGGCCATGTGAAAGACAATCTTGTGACGCTTCTTAATTTGCTGTAATCCTCGACAGACAGCAGTTGCCTGATGAAGTATTTTGCCTTCACATTTAACTCCCTCCAAATTTTTCTGTAGTTGGGTAGGTAAACAGCATGAAACAGTCTTGCCTGTTGCAAGGTACACTTGCAAAGATGGTGTGACTGACTCATGGATGAGGGTAAGAGGTTTAATTACTGTAATTACACTAAACTAGACATCAGTCTCCTTAAATAAAACCAATGGGTTATTGTGTGTTAGTCGTCACTTGGTTGTATCTGATTTTAAAGTACAATCCTTATATTATGTATTCATTATTTAAAAAAAGTCATTTTAAAAATCATTTAAAAGAGCTCATAACTGATATATCTTAAATATATAGTTTTGTATTGCACTCTTGCCTAGCTGATGCACAGCTGCTTAACTAAAGCTGCACTGATTTATTTGCTGTCTTCCTCAGGGCTTTTTTTTTTTTTTTTTTTTCTTTAAATTTTTTTTCCTTGAAAGCTTTAAGGTGTTGCATGAAGAATTTGTACTTACAGCCAAAAAATGTAAACATGTTAGAAACTTCTGGAACTTCAATGAAGCAATAACTCTTGCTAACTCAGGATTTATCCTTTATTAAATACTTAAATGAGGGATGTCTAGTTTGTTGTAAATTTCTGCCTTCGTAAAATAAAAGTGAAACTTAATTAGTACAAGGCATATTTGAGTTGTTTTTGTTCTTTGCAAAAATGTCTTATTTAAGCTTTGCCTGGAAATACTGCTAAGTAATGCTGGAAACAACTACGGTTAGAGCTAGCTGTAAGGTAAAGCATGGCCAAAGAATGCGATAACGATATGAACTGAGACTTGCTGATAAAATGAGGGTCCTGGCTGTTCGCCTGGACAAAAGTTTCTAATTAAAGTGAGATGTGGTATGGAGGAGTAACAGGTGTTACAGAGCAGACTTAAATACACTTTTCACATCAGAGAGTTGGTTGCAAATTGTTGCTGATTGTCGCTGGAAAAACAGGATTGAAAATTTTGCTGACTTCCACTGTCCATTTCCCCACTCAATAAAAGCAGATTAGTCTTCTGCTACTATGGTTTTCTTATTTCTAATGATGAACAGTATTGTGTCCTATTCTGTGAAACATGCACCAAGAAAGCAGCCAGTATTTCTAATGGTGAAAGCATGTGACAATAGAGGCTGTTTTTATTCTTAGTGGGGGAGCAAGCAGCTAGTTGATTGGAATCCCCTATATTCTGCATTTATCTGAAATGACTTACATGTGGTCTTTCCTAAACTGCTTTACTGTAGCCTAAAGACAGAGTACTTCTCTACATGTTAACTTGGAGAATGTGTACAAAGTCTTGTGTAAAAAGGAGGAGAAAGAAAACAATTCAGAAATAAGCATTATATCAACTTAAGCATGTGATTGCAAAGGAAGCAATAGCTGTGCCTTCCTAGTGAGGGATGTTTAAAAAGCCATGCAAGAACTCTTTTATGTTCTGTCACAAAACTGTGAGTGAAGAGGGTAAAGTTGCTTAAATGTGGCTTGTGTTTCAAATGGAGAATATTCATTCTCAGTTTTCATGAAAACTTGCTCTAGTTTCAGTAGGAATCAGTCATCTATGATCAGGCTTTCATATTCACTGTAGAGGAGGTTCTGTTATGCTGTAGCGCTTCATGATTCTGTCAAGCAAAGATGCAGCATGTGGTAGTGCTGCTGTGACAGCAGCAGCTACAGCAGGGCTCAGAGCATGCACCAGATCATGAAACTAGTGTTATGAAGGATACCCTGTCAACCCAAAAAACAGACTGCTCAGCAGATTGAGAAAGCTGAGGCTTGAGCAGGAAGCTCAAGTAGGCTAACTTTGAGGGAAAATTACTCAGTAGTAGCTACTGAGTTCAAGCAGGCCATCAAGCATTTGTGGCTGCTGCTAAGTTTCAAAGAAATTGTGTTTACAACTTTAGAAAGCTGTAAGAATCAGATCTGAACATTAATAACAGTGTTCAGGACTGGATCATTCTGTCAGCCTGGTCTGAGATGGTGAAACATACCCATTTCAAGGCCAGTAGGTACAAGTGAATTTAAGTAACTCTCTTGGAAGGGTGCCTATGCCTGGTTTATTGGGAGAAAAGGTGGAGGGGAGGGGCTTGCTGTATTTTTTTTGGAGACCTGATCAGCATTAGAAAACTTAACCACTGTTCTTTTGACTTTGTTTTGGCCTTGTTTCAAATAGTAAAAAGTGCCTTAGTTCTAAGCTGTTTGGCTAGCTTCAGATTCCAGTTCTGGGCTTTTTTAAAGGTCTTTCTTTGTCAAGGTGGTGGGGTGTGTTTTGGTTTGTTTGTTTTTTGGTAGGGAACACCTCGGGTGTACTGACATGACGGCTGAAGGAGCAGGACTCAGCAGGACTTTGTGAATGCGTTTTAGCTTTCGGAGGTCGGCAAATGGTTTCATCTACTCAGAGATAAGAGAAAGCTGCTTGGAAAAAAGAAAATTACTTTGTTAAAGGTGCCTGGATAGGCAGTGGCTTTACAGTCAGTCCTATGGAGTAACCCTGTTTTGTTTACTGCAGGGCTTTGACCTGCCACTCTTTCACTCACCCTACCCTCCAGGTATTGAATTCCCCTGCCCACCCTGCAATTAGGAGGTAAGATTTTTTTTTTTTTTTTCTTTCCTTCCAGTTTGTCCCCTGCCTGGGTCTGGGCAAAGCCATCAATTGCAACCCCAGTGCTGGGACTGAACTGGCTTCCCACCCCAGCCCTGCTTCTGACCGTGTTTAACTTTGCTTTCTGTTTCTTTTAATGCCCTCCTCTCATTTGGTATGTTAAGAAATAAAGATACATTGCTGTTCCTGTCTCTGCTCAGATGTGTTTCTATATAGACACTTGGAGTCCTCTCTTTGAATCACTCATCACGAGGTTTCTGCGGTTCTCAGCCTCACTTCTAGAACTCTGTGTAATGCTATGAAAGTCTAGCAGCACAAAATCAGAATATAAATAGAGGATCACTTCCTCCCTTTTCTGTGCTAAAGCTTTGGGGTAACTCTTGGCATTCACTGTAAGCTGGTATTCATCTGCTAACTAACTTGCTAGATTCCTTCAATAGCCTTTGGCTATAAAACAGAGGAAGCTATGCCAAGGCAGTAAGTACACTCAGTGGGCTCTTCTCTAGGGGTTCTCCTTTTGTCTGATTGTAGGCAGCTTAGCACCTGTTTTGACATTGCATTTTATCTGTAGACAATGACTTTTTCCCCCCTTTGATTTATAATAAAGCAAATCTTGTCATCGACCTACTTCTGCATTAACCTCAACCTCTACTCTTTGAGAGCTTAAGCTCTAAAAACAACTGTTTCAATCTGTTTTGTGACTGTCTAACACACATTAATAAGAACAAATTTACTTTGACTGGGTCGAATCATGTTTCTGAGGAAACTTTTCACCATTGTTATCAGCCAGTCAGCTTCACAAATGCACTTTGTGCAAGATGATTTTTAGATAAGCAGCCAGAAACCCAGCAGTGTTATTCAATTTTTAGAGGCAATTAACTTTGTACAAGACAAGAACCAGGTCAAGAGAACTTCTCAGTGTGATATGAGAATCCTAGTTAAAAAACTAGGCTGAAATCACAGCCATCTTTACAAACCATTAAGTACTAAACTTACTTAGTAGGCCAGGCTGGCAAGAACTAGGGCAACCAGCTCACTGTGGAGCATTACATAGAAAATGTTAACCCTGGAGACATTTCTTCTAAACGGTCAGGCAGTTTCTTCTGTGTTTACATCGAGATAAGAGCTCGTATTTGCTGATGCTTCAGCCTCTTTTGAAAACAGAGGGACTTACTTAACTTCAAAGATGCACGACTAGGGTAATTTTTTTTTTTTCCTTAAAAGCTTAATGTCTTGATTCTTTACAACAATTAGGCTATATGGCTATGATGTTGCACCCTAAAACAACTTTTAGCTCTTTTTTTGCTGTGGAAGTTTTAGTTTCTCTGAGATAACCTGCTTAAATTCAGGTAGCTTTCTATTAATGGGTTGAGGTCAGAAAAAGTTATTTTCCAAAGGAGTAACTTTGAGTGAAGTTGAATAAATTTGTTTTTTAATTACGTGTGTAACAGCAGTGGAATTGAAATACAAAATTAGCATGTAAGTAAGTAAGTTTTGCATAGAGATTACTACTACTATAGAAATACAAAATTCTAAAAATTTTCACAACTAAAGATTTAAAGGAACGCTGCTAAACAACAGTAGCGCAGTCGCAAGATAGATAGTATATGAGCTAATGTATGCATTCACTTGTACAGATCCAAAACCTGAAAGCACAGAAAGGAAGGGCTTTGCTTCTAGGTATACCACTTTACCACAGAATCACAAAAGAATACCGACTTGAAGTACAGTTTTTATTTGATTTAACATGGAAACTTACAGACTATGCAAGTTTTTCTTTAAAAATAGCTTTCTAAATATCCCCAAAGACAACAGATTTTAAAGTCGGTTCATAAGAGGCTTGTAAATCTTAATTTGGAAGAAAGTTTCTTTTAGCAGTATGATAGACATATGTAACCAGTAGCTACAATGCAGTCTAAATTTAAGCTGGGATTTGGACTGGATTTCTTTGCCAAAACTTAGATATTAGAGTTTCAACTCTTAAGTGGAAATTCAAGTCACATCCACTAATCTCCAGCTTGCCAGGTAACAATTATTGCACTTGTACTGGTTTTATTGGCTTAGTAAAGCCATTCTAAAGCAATACTTTAATATCTGTACATTTTAAAGCACTTAATCCTGTCTGCAAAGGAGATAGACAAGTAAACAAAGCCACCATTTATTTTAACTTAATTATGAAAGCTCTTAATTTTCAGAATTTAAAGGGATTTGTATTTATTTAGCAATACGCTAGAAAAGTGACAGATGCTGGAACTACCTTCTGATGACTAGTTTGGTCCATGTCAGCAATCAAGTGATGTTATAAAAAATAAACTAGTTTTCTTATAAAATGAGCAATGTTGAATTTTTGTTCAGATCGCACAGTACAAAGAAGCTAATACCTAAATGAATACTGTTACAGGTAGTTATTACATAGGGACAGCAGCTAGAAAAAGTAAGTACCTCAAAGCAATAGAATTCTGCAGCCAGCTTTCCGTAACATTGTTTGAAAGTTAAAATAAAGTCTTAGTTACAAGTATACAGATTATAAAATATTTGAAAAATGTTTAAGTATGAGCTATTTAACTGAACTTTAGTAAGAGTACATGATAAGTGAGTATTTACACTAAAAAAAAAAATCCACTTTTCAGAAAAGAATTTACAAATGAAATAAATAACTTTTAGCAATCCCCTAAGCCCAACTACAGGATCTGTAAGTGGCAGTAGAAAAAGATAAGCCACCTAACATCACTGCTAGGTCAGGAAAGTATGCCTCATCCAGAAGGAAGTGCAACTTTGCTTTGAATTTACTAGTAATCCAGAAACATGCACAATACATATAGGTACCTTCAAATATGGTACAACCATGAATATTTATACAAGAGTATTCACAAAAAACATACAATATATTTTACAGTCCTTTAATACAAAATCTTACTTGATATCAAACCACAATCTGAACTGCATTGATCAGACTTCTTTCCTTTTAGGCAGTCAAGCAGCTTTCTGTCTAGTTTCTATGTACTTGCAGTTCAGAGGGAAAGTGGCCAAGCTGGGAAGGATAACACTTAAATTTAATCTCCTCTTTACTTTTTATACTCAAGCAGGAGGTACTAAGCGAGAAGGTTCTCCAGAACGCGCGTTTGTGATGCAGGCGAACTGATGACTATTAGCTGAAGCTAAGTCTACATAGGCATTCACTGTCTCCCAACACTTAGTTAACGAAAGCTGCAGTCTGAAGCTTGCAAAAAGAAATCCTGCCTTCTTATGAAATTTTTAAATGAAACTGCTTCTCAGTTGTATTATCCCCACAACAGATTTCAAAGATGAAATCTATATAAAAAAAAGTTCAAAAGTTTTATGGAAGCATGTCTAAAAGCTGGTTTGCTTCCTTTCACATCTGATGCTTAAGTCGTCATCATCCTCCATTTAAGACACAGTGCAGTCATAACTGCTTTCTTGGAATGAATCCTCATCCTCTGTCCTAGACTTGTCCTCCTCGTGTCTGCTTACACTGCTGTTCCCAGCATCACTCTGAGGATTAGTGCAATGGCTAGATGAAATCCTGCTTTCTTCAGCTCTGGGATTTGCTTGTTCTGTAACCTTAGAAGGATTCACTGGCTGAAAAGCTTCAGGCTGCACTTGCTCTTCTGTTATTTCACTTAGTTTCTGGATCTGTGGTTTGATGATGCTTAGAAATGGCTTGTACCCAGGGCTAGGAGATAATGGGTATAGGAGTGAATTAAAAATAGTACTTCTGTCAGTATTGCCTGAAGTGCAGTATTTCCTGGGAAGTGTCTAACAAAGGAAGAACTTCTATCAATCATCCTTCCTGTACAGAAATGAATCTTTATTTTTTAAATATGGAAAAAATGCAAATATAATCAATGTTCTTTTTTCCTAGTTAGACCATAACTGTATTGACAGTTGTGAAACTTCTTGCAGAAATGCTTCACTTGTTTGAACTAGGGCTGAGAGAACTCAGAGTTTATTTCTTAAGTAACTAAGTAGCTTCAACTGGAATAGAAATGACAGTGGAAAATAACTTACCAATCCGTGGAAGCCCATTTGTCAACAGCATGTAGGCCAGTCTTTATATTCCGACAGATTTCTCCATCAGTATCGGAGGATTGCATGATACTGAAAACCTGGCTGATTACTGAAGATTCTCTGAGGATAAGGCCTATGATAATACACCAATCCAGACAGCCTGCTTCCATGAAGATATGCAGCAAGTACCTGAATGAAAAAGTCTACTTATTTTTTTTTCCCCCCCCCACAAAAGATAAAAGCCCTATGTGTGATTCTGCAAACAGTACTGCTTCGTCCTAATGCTGCATTGCAAGAACAGATGGCATTTTAAGTTTCAAATGCAAAGATTATACAACTTACCGCAGTTGGACCTGTGACTTGTGTGGCCCTTTACTAGCCAGTTCTAGAGAGATATGTTCAAGCTCTGACTGAGTTAAACTTAGACTAGAGAAGTTTTCATCCACCATGGTCCAGTCACCATCCACCATAGAACTTGTTTCCGTCAGGTCTGTTGCTGAACCGATGCTGCATTCGTCACCTGTCAACAACGTTCAGAAGTATAAGGGAAAAGGGAAACTACTTAGCTTAATAAGACTTATTCTTGAACTACTTTCTATAGAAATTAACAAATTACCCAGTAATGTTTTTTGCTGTATATCACAGTAATTGCTACAGACTTCCCTGAGGCATACTGTCCATTCCAGTTAACCACTCCTATTGACACAGTATACTCATACCTTTATGCCGAGTCATTTCCAGGAGCATGGTAGTTTTTTTTTTTTTTAATCAGTTAAAAACAATTTTGGATATACATCTCATGGAAAAATGTTGCTCTAGACTTCAGGACAAGATGCAATGGAAAACAAAAAAAACCAAAAAACCCCAACCAATCAAAAAAACCCCAAACCAAAAAACCATGAATGGTCAGACTAAAACATCTTGTCTATGACTACAGTCAGGAAAGATGCATAGAGATTATGATTCTCCTCTATTTTCTGTGAGCTGATTATATATTTGTGTTTCAGCAAGACTGATCAAGCAAATCAATGGAAGAAGAAAGGAAAAAAAAAATCTATATAGGAATATAATTTCCTCAAATTCCTCTAAGTATTTAAAAAGGTATGTAATTAACGTTCCTTTCTAAAGAAATCCAAGTTCATGCATCAAAACACAGAAGTGCTCACAGATGTATGACATGGGCATATGTTTCTGTTGTGGAAGTTTCAGCACACTTGCCCGATGTCTTTCCGCCCCCTTGGTATTATGGTATCAGCAGCTGAGACGCCGTAACAAAGAAGGGATAAGCAAACATCAGAATATGAATGCTTACCTCCAGGTACATTTTTCTAATAGCCATACAGAAGGGAGAGCAACTAACCTTTACTCAACAAAGGGGAAAGAAACGCATCTTGCATGTGGGGTCCATGGGATGAAACTGTGTCAATCTCTCTCTGAGAGGAGTTGATAGTGCCAAGCCAGCTGCGACTCCGAGGTGTGTTTGAAACCCCTGTTTCCATTTCCATGTTTAAAAAGGTATCTGCAGACTGAGATTTTAACAGCTGTTCCCCCATAGCTAAAATAACAAAAAACAAAAAAATTCCACTGAAGGACAAGTCATGTAATCATCAAAATGCAAAGTCATTTCTGGAAGCTAAAAGCTGTATTTAACTTAACATTCAGTTAGTTTGCTGAGAAACGACCAAAAGCAAGGGGCTGCAGCAAGTTTAGCTATTTCAAGAACTCTGATCAGCTTTTTATGTAAGTACTGGCATAAAAGAAGCATCAGCTAATAAGCTGCTCACACCAACAGAACTAAATAAAGGTACTACTACTACCACGAGAAGGAAGACTTGTTAGCTAGTGTCAGCTTTGCTTTAGAAAGGTAAACTACTGTACTTAGAGGTACAACAGAGTTTACAGCAAGTTCTGAAAATTCTAACCTTTTACTAGACAGTTAGCAAATTTCAAAGATTAAAAACACTGAATTTTAAAAGAGTTAATCAAATCTTCATCTAAAAAACGATATAAGAACACTGTTCTTAGTAATTTCCTGTAGCAGAATTTACATGGAGGACCAATACCCAAGGTCAACTAAATATCTGCCTGAGCGGTATCCAATTCAGTGCTCCTGAAAAAGCAAGAAACCTTTACAGAAACAACCATGTAATGGGACTATAGAAGAGATGAAGTCTACGCTGAACAGCGTTCCTTCAAAGCACACATCCAGCATAAGAACACTGTGCAGGTACTAAGCCTCAGTCTGTGCGTGGTTGAACTAAGGAAGGAGAGATGATGGGTGCAAGTCTGCCGAAGAGAAACCTAGTTCAAGTCAACTCAGATGTCACAGCACCTGTCTTATATTTTCCGTTCTTGAAGGGTGAACTAACAGAGGAAGCTGGTATGACTGGAAAAGGCCAGAGAAAGTCCTTGTGTAGCTTCTTCAAAGCAATCACAAAATCCTCCACGCGGGCAGCTCTGGCTCGCTCCTTACACAGCCAGCCGATCAGCTCAAAACCTAACTGCGCAGCAAAGCAGCCAAGGTCTTTCAGCTTGATTTCTTCTAGGAGACGCCGAGCATGTCGCCAGAGCATCATATCAATGTACATGTTCTCAGCACAGTCACTGTCTTTACTCCACCTATGGACAAACCACAGAACAGTAACATTAAGACTGACAAAACTGAACCGTAAGGACTGTTGGCCACAACCACAAGATACAAAGCGACCAGTGTAACAGTGAAAGCTTTCTCTATACCAACAAAAGCAGTTTCCACTACCCCTCGGTATTACTTTCTCTATAATTCCCACTGTCACAACGGGCAAATGAAGCAAGGGAAAGAAGCTACAATGGCAGCAGTATCTATACAGTGTTAAAACATTACCAATAAGAAAAAAAGGAGAGAAAAGAAGAAAAAAAAATGAGGTGCCATTGCAAAGTGATTTCTTAGAAACAAGGTTTAGAGAACAAAACAAACATTAGTCTGAGACCCTTTCTTTCAAAACCCTAATATATTACTCTGTGGAAAATTACTAAATAAAAGGCATTTCGATTTGTACCCAAGATTGTTTTGAAAGTCTTATATGAAGGGGAAAAAAAAGACACTAAGGTAATAACAAACTTCTATCTCAGTGCTTCACCTGAGGCAGAAATTCATACAGCTCAGTATGAATTCAGCAGCTGGGAGAGGAATTCACCCACAGGTATGCATTTCCCTCATCTCTCTTATGACTTGGCAGGACGTTGCTGGATCAAGAGATGTGCACAGTATCACAGTGCAATGCATGCTGCGATGCTGCAGTATTAAAAGCCCTTCAGGACAGATATCTTTCAGCAAAACAAGCTTCAAATATGAGGCATGTGGTCTCACTAGGTATTTAAATTACTACACATGCATCCAGTGGATTCAGAGGCTTTTGGTTAGCAATTTATTTGTGTATGCACACACACACAAATATATACATATATGCATATGTATATGTACACATGCATATTTACATGTGTGGGAACATAAGTTGCCAAGAACATGAGAGGTATGGGCATTACAAGAGTCCAGAAAAGACTAATGCAAATCAGTGTGAAGCAAGACTAGAACAAATCTATCATACAATATTTTTGTATAACAGAAACTGGTGAGAGCTAGTACAGTACCTAACAAAATGGGGAAGAAGAGGACATACATTATTATTACCAATTACCTTTTCCCAGACGGGCCAGAGGGCATACTCAGTGTTTTTGTCAGGTTGAATTTGTTATGGAGATTCTCTGCTGACTGGGATAAACTAATGCTACGATGTCTGAAGAACTCAAAGCCACTACTCGAACTAGGTTCCTAAAACCAAGAAAACCCAAACATACAATCAGCTGAGTAAGCACATCGCATAATGGTATAGGGGAGATCAGTCAAACATGGGTTGGTGCACAGTATTTACTATGTTGATCACAAACCTGAGTTGTTGGTGTAGCTGGAGGTGTCTCTGTTTCTCCAGAACCAATGGCTTTAAGAAATCTGATCATATGACGACAAAGATCCCACTTTCCCTGCTCTAAAGCAGTGTTAAATAGAAGAGTAGCATGTTGTCTACTAACTGCTGGAACTTCCATATTCTGCAAATAACAAAATATAATTTAAGTCATTTGCTTTCTCCATCCAGCAATAAAAAGTACTCAAGAATTCAAGGCACTTCATGTTACATAATACCACCAGATAATGGAAGAATTAGATTTGATGCTGTTCTTTTTCTTTTTATGACAGTAAATTAACTATTCAAATTTCTTGATATTCCTCCTTCCACAACTGGGCATAATCTCAGCAGAAAACTTTTAAATTAAAAATTTAATACGCATTCGTTTGGTATGACAATCATTTTTAAATAATACAACCTTGTTAACTGTCATCTCCTTTTTGCAATATGGAGGGTACCATTACCTGTAGGATAATGAGATAAGAGGCAGCTGTGTCCAAGTCCTGGGCCATCAAGCACTCCTCAAATAAGTCCTTTGGGTTTCCAACAGCAGCAAAAAGGTAATTCCACAGGGCATATTCTGTCTTCCTAGCACAATGGACAACTGTCTGCAGGAAGAGGGGGAACTCTGTAATGAACTTCGCCACCGTGGGAAGCAGAGGGTCGGGAATGGGTTCCCGCGAGGTAGCTTCTTCTTCCAGCACTTCATGAAGCATCAGTTCTAGTACGTGAGGAAAGTATGGTAACGTGGCACAGGAGTGGGCCAAAAGCAAGGCTTGCTCACCGAGGTTCCTAACCAAAAGCTGGCGTAAAATGTGATGGAGGTAGATCTGAGAAGTTCTCTCAACAATGGAGAAAGGAAAGAGGACCTCTAAGTGTTCTCTAGCACTGGTTTGAGTGTATAAACAGTCGTAGAGCACAGTGTCATTAACAGCACCAAGAACCAAGGCATCTTCAAACAAAACAGCCAACGGGTATATATTGATGTGGAAAGGCAGCATGATGCGTCTTGACAGAAAGGAGTGTGGTTTTCGATGATCTCTGGGAAACAGGGGAAGCCAGACTTTCATACCTGCCCCGCCACAGCTGAGCCAGAGAGCCTCCAGTAAGTGGCGTTTCTGCTTGTTGATCCTGCAAGTAGTCCAGACGTTTTCAACAGACTGGGCTAGAACAACTGGAGCACAAAAAGGCAGCTATAAAAAAGAAAGATAAAGAACATTTATCAAAAGTCATTATTCCTTTTTTCTGGCCACAAGAACTCTTGGTTCAGCTGAGAGTTCCTCTCGCTGCAAAACACATTGTATTCTAACAAAAAATAAATAAATATGTTTATCTCTTAAGTTTAGCTGTACCTTAGCACCTGGGAAAACACTACTTATCACTTACATTAATTTAAAAAAAAAAAAAAAGGCATTTCTTTCTTTTTTTTCCCTCCTGGTATTAGTCAGGAAGCTGGAGAGATAAGGATAAGGGACGAAAAGAAAAAACTGCTCTCTGCTTCTTCACTTAGCGCAAGAGTTCAACCTAGAACTGACAAAGACAAAAATTTGCAGATATTTGACTGAATTGTAAACCAACTGTTCTTCATCTAAACTTTTCACTTTTCACCTTCCCAAAGTGTTTGTTTCACATAGCAGAAGTGGTGTTCATCAGCACAGAAAGATTGAGACAAGAAAGTTCAGTCTCTGATTTCTGTTACTGTTTTTAGAAGTTTTGTAAATACATTCTGTGAAAATAACATTCCATAAACTTATAGAACAGTTTTAGAAACTAAACTTACAGAACAGTTTTAGAAACTAGAGACCAAAGATTTTCTACCGATACTACAAAAACCACATTTTGTACCAGACCTTGATGCTTAAAACTCCTATCTTTCACTACAATACAAGTAGTAAATACTGCTAGGAAATACAAGTGGCAGATACTTCTTTAGTTAGACTTTCACACAATTAAGGAGTAATTTCTGGGAGATTCTTAGAAGACTCGTAGAGGTAGTGCTTTATTTCCAGCTGTCAGTTAAACCTGTAAGTGTAAGCACCACATAGCATTACAGACAACTTTAAGCTTGGACCACGCCTTTTTGCAACTTGACCAGTCGCTGACATCGTTGAAACTGTATACAACATCCCACATGTATTTACTTACATGCTTCCTTTGGTTAGGATTATTATCCTTCTCTCGTATCTGGGGGCCAGATCGATCCCTTTGCAACATGATGAGTTGTCCAGCTAAGTTTAGCATAATGCTTTCTGCCTCACAGGCCTAAGAAAAAAAAGCGTTATGAAAATTATTTAAGCACTCTGAATGCATTTTTTTTTACCCATAGCTACAATGCAAACGTAGACTATAAAAGAGTTAATTAACTGCAAAGGCCACTCATAATCGGTGTCCAGAATTTACAAGCTACTACATGTTTAGTTACCCTCCAAGGCAGATTCTGTTTACAAAGGGGACCAGTTCAGAGCCCTCAGTTTCTGCTCCTCAGGCAAGACATTACCCAAGGAGTTCCCTAACAGTTTTACTTCCTAGCAGTAGCATGCGTAAACAGGGCATATCTGAGAACTCCAGGCATTGTCTTCCTTGGCTGCTTTACACCAGGAGCTGACAAGTTACAGCAAAATAGGCTGCTGTGTAAACTTGCAACACAACAGCTACTTAGCATTAACCGGCTTAAAGCCGACAATTACCCCTTTGTAAACACGATGTAGCTCAGAGCTCCAGTCACACCTGTTGAGAGTTAAGCGTAACAGATGTTGCACTAGGTACATGGAGACCCCTTCCCACACAGTTCTAAATCTGAATTGCATAATGCCCTAATTTAGAAAATGCTTTCTATATAAACCTGAAATAGCCAGTTATACACATATATATAGATGCTGGCTCACACAATCATTACCTGCAAAACTGAATTTATAATGGTTAATACCTCATTTCAATCATTAGTGATTTAATAAGTTCCAGAAATGGAAAAGAAACACCACCATTGTGATAATAATGCTATTATTTCAAATGGATTAATAGCAAAGAAATTATCACAATTCTTGAAGAAAGGAAGTGTTTTAACTGCCAAAACTCTCACATTTCTGTTAGTCTAGCACTTCTAATCATGTCTCTAGGCATACATCCCTTAAAAGAAGGTTGTCTGTTGAGTTTTTTTTTTGTTTTTGGGGGGTTTGTTTTTTGTTTTTTAGGTTTGACTAGCCTTTCTGCCAATGTGAATTCAGCAGCTTCCCAGTCCAAATGAGAAGAATCTTAAAACCTAATTCTGTGCAGAAGTATTCAAAAGAAATAAGCAGAACTGTATCTACGCATAGTCGTTTACATAGTTCTTAAGCAAAATGGTAAGTATTGTAGTTTTTTTGTTGACTAGACTCATCTCACATGTTTACTCGATCTTGCTTTTCTCACTTACCCCTATTGGCATGGACAAGCCAACGATATTTTCAGAAAAATGAGAAACTCTGTGTTCTCACTGGTATCGCAATTATGTAACTGCAATATCAGATTACAGAGACTAACACAAGAGCCAAAAGAGTTTAGCTATGTAGCTACGCACTTGCACAGTTATCTTAAGCTTTCAGAAGCTGCAGCTAAAGAAAAACATTTTTACTTGGGTATATCAAGGAAGCAAAGTATTGTTTTTAAGGATGTATTTCAGAACTGTTTCATGTCCATTTTAAAGTCAAATTATTTGAGTTAATACTACATTGCGCATGAAGTTCAGTTTTATTACGTAAGGGTAGAAGGCCTGTAAGTTTGCAGTTGTCAGGGACTGACTGAGGTCACTAACGGGGTAACACCACCAAAAAAGTCGTCACATTCCACTCAGTAGGACACGTTGCCTTAATTGTCTGAAGTCTTGATGCATTCAGTGGCTCCGGTGCAGTGTTACAGTCAATCTTGATACTAATGCTTGTCTTCTGACTGGCAGAAACTTTTCTACAGAAACAAATCTCAGGCATCACTTATATAAGTGTACTGTGTAAATACCAGCTTGACCAGCATTTCTGTTTGGAAGCCTGGCTCTTAAGTCTGCTACCACTTAATCATCCTATGACAGCTTCCATCTTTAGCAGGACTTACCAGGCAAGAGGTAGAAGATAAAAATCAAACACTAGTTTGGGATCTGGACATACCCAGACTGAACAAGCACCTGTCATATCTTTCCACTAGGAAAGCAATCAGTTGCAGGATGGACAAGGTTTGAAAATTATGGGCTCCTAATTAGAAAGAAAACAGATAGCATCTGTTTGATCTGAAGTTAAATTTAAACATTACTAATACTTTAAAAGGTTCCAGTAGCTTTTTCCTCACAATTAGGAAATCCTACAGGTCAGGTAGTTCAGACACAAGGATGCTGTCTGACAGCAAGACAGACCCTGGAAAAACCACAAACTGCTGCCTTTTATGCCCCTGTCTGAGATCATAAGGAAGGCTCACGACATGTTCAGCACTGCCGGACACTGAAGTGGAATAAACTAAAGGAAGCAAGTGCAAACCTTCAGATTTTGCATCTGTGCCCCTGGAGTGCAGCGGCTTTGGTATGTAAAGAGAAGCATCCTCTTTGGTGTGTCTAGGGGCCTACCTCACAGATGCCACAATTTCATGACTACCCTACATTATCTGCTCTCTGTGCCAGAAATCTGGCAAAAACATACGAGAAACTATGTTTCACACTGCAGCTACTTCATAGTTAAGCTTAGTTTATTTATATCACAGACAATAAAAGATCAAGTTCTTTGCACTGCACTTCTCAGGAGCCTGAATCATTTCATGGAGTTGAGACAGGGCTTTATCTTCACACCTCAGCCATTGTTGGGCCTCTCTCCTAACAGAGCTAGTGAGACTGACCTAACAGAGCTAGTGAGACTGACTATCTTATCTCAGTTTATTTTACTTTGTTGTACTAGGAAATGGACTAGAAGGTACCTTTTAGGGTCATGTGCTTCCCCCCTACTCCCACCTGCCACACTTTCACGGTTTTTAATTTGGGTCACTGGCCTATTGCTGCAACGGCGATGCTTCCTAGTCCCACATAGCAGCATTTAATATGCAATAGAGAAACACACCCCTTGGCAGAGCAAAGTCCAATTTGCCCTCTGAGATGTGGTTTTATAGGTTTTACAGAATGAAAGGAGAAGATATGAAGTAGAAATAAGTCCTGATTTTGTTCTTTAGTTCACATACAAAAAGTCTATGTAACAAGTACTAGAAAAAGCATGTTCTGCTTGTTACCATACAGAAGAACCACTGCATTATGACAGTATCAGTCAGATAACCTTTGAGAGCTAACCAAATCCAGAGCGGACACCGATTCTTTAAATTTTGAGTGCTGTAGAACTTGTACCTGCTGAGGCATCTTCAAGCTGATGCCAGTCTCTGTCCTCACTGATGTCAATGTAACAGACACTACAAGAAAAGGATGAGGAATGTATCGAGACATGGATACTTCTTGAAGAACCTGGATACTGGCAGTTGGATTAAGACTGAAAGAAAAGATAACTTTGTTTAGCAAGTTTTTAATAGTCAACAGCAAACACTGAAAATAACCAAGTTAACCTCAGCAAACAATGTACTCGACAGATCAAAACAACTCCCCTTTTAACCAGGAATCATGCAGGCTCACACATCTACACCACCTAAAGTTACCAAATAAACCTAAACTGAGTTACTCTGTCTTGATAATTTAGAGGAATCAAGTTATAAGCAGATAGAAGGGAACATGAGATTTTTAACTACAAGACTGTAGCATCCCTTCAATAAGACAACATTAGGGTTTGAGTTTTTTTGTGTTTTTTTGAAAAGGCATTGAAAATATTTTCCTCTAAAGTTAGTCAACAGCTTGCTTTCTACTAAAAAACGTCCCTTCTCCTTTCTGAAACCAAGCTACAGTACTAAAGAAAAGCATCTGCTTGGACACTTCAAAAACTGTCTGTGAGTGTTTATCTCCTCCCTACGTTCATTGGTCTTAACCATCTGTAAGCATCCGGTTCTTGTGCTCCTATTTTTTTGGCCTCAAAATAGCTCCCCACAAACAAATCGGAGGCCAAACCTTTTTCTGCCTTCATATTCCCTGCAACGCTCCAACAATTCCTACTTTTAATGTTGGCAACATTAACATTTTTTATTTTAACAATATTCAAATATATGGGTGTCTTTCAATGTCTTTTTCTTCTGTTTAAAAGTTTTTCAAGTTCCTATCAGCTAGAACAAGCCAAGTTTTCCACAGCACCCCAGTGCAGTATTTGTACAGATACAGCTTGGAATGTGCATATCTCAGTCCTTACCTGCACACCTAATCTGTACATTTTCATGCATGCGAGTGACAACACTCAGGAACTATCGCTTATGCATATGACACTCCCACTCCGATTCCATGTTTTAAAAGTCTGATTCAACAAGTTATCAAAGGATTTTATGTTATCATGAACGTTTACTGAGACTGAGGACACATTTAAGAGTACATTACTGCAAAAGCATTAAAGCAATTGTATTAAAACTGGTTCACTGATACTCACCCTTCAGGCCGTCTCTCAATACTGTAAAGGCAAATTGAACAATCCGCTCTGAACAATATCACAATGTCTCGGAAGACACTGAGTAGTAACGTGTCTGCTTGCACTTTGGTGATGTGTGCAAATGCATTGTCAAGATTAGATGTTCGCAGGTAAATTCTCAGCTACAAGGAAAACCAGAAGTTTGAATACAGGTTCTGTTTAAGGGAAATTAACAGTACTGCAATATTTGATTATTTACGTTTTATGGAATGGCTGTCAAGGATCTTTAGCAAGACATAATGCTGTATTTTTGTTTTAACAAATGCCTTCTCCAGAATATTACACAAAGCAATACATCCAAAGCAGTTAAAGAACAGTATAGCCACTTCTGAGGTGCATAAAAAAGGAAGAAGTTTCATTCCTTAGTTTTAAAAAAAACAGAATTAATTCAAGTTCTTATGCCCACCTTATTTGGAAATCTTACAAAATTCTCCCAAAATACTGTAATTAAAACCTCAAAATAGCTTTTGTGCTAGCATTCAAAAACACCACAGAGTTTTCAGAATAATAAGCAAAGTAGTAGTGGTTGTCAGCAGAAAATAGCTTTTACTAGGAATAATAAACTCTTCTGCAACAAATTAGTTACACGCTAAGAAAGAAGTTTTGAAAGTGACCACAGCCACCTGTGTATCATGTTTTTTGCATTTATAATACTAGTTTAGAACATATGTGATATAAAACATTATGATTTATTTATTCAGGAGAAAAAAGTACCTCACCTCTTCCTGATGATCATTTAAATTATAACATGCAAGAACAATGAAATCATTCCACCAGGCTAAGCCACCTGTTACCGTCATATTTTGCTCCTTAAAAAAAAAAAAAAAAGAAACAGGACAAGCAAATGACAGAGATCAACATATATATATACACATACAAATACATGCACAAGCGCGCATACATGCATACACAAATATATACACACATACATATATGCATTCTGTGAGCAGTTTCTGAGAGCCAGATATGATGTCTGTAAGCTTTACTGACTGCGGCAAAACAATCTAATCGAGATATCAGAAGTTGTTCTTGTTTAAAAATAGCCAGTTGCTGAAGAATAGTATGCGAAGAATAAACTCTATCATATAAAACACCGCTCTGCAGTTCACCAGTCTACTGCCACCCCTGATCTGGAGAGTCTCAAATTAATTTTTTGCTATTCATGAGGTTTACAAGCTTGGCATCCAAAGCTAGGCCTCTCACAGGCTCCTAAATAAGATATATTGCAGTAGGACTCTGACCTTACACAACATATTCGGAAATTGCTAATAATCAGATACGAGTTATTATGCCAAAGTCAGAAGATATGTTCCACCCATTTTACGAAAAAGACATGGAAAACCAGCATCCCTAATCCCAAGTCTGTTCTTCAAGTTGTTTTTTTAGAAAAGATATTTTTCATTTTCTTCAAAAGTCACATTTTAACAAGTATAACCTTCCCAGCATACTTGGACAAAATTAAATAACCGCTTACCTGGGTAACGTTTCCAAACAGCTTCCATTTTTTGGTAAGTAAAGAATAATGTGCAAAACCAAACTTGCCAACAACAGCTACATTCTGCCCTAGCTTGTCAATGGCTGAAAACTATTCAAAGAAAAAAACAGAACCTCAGTACAGAAATTTAAACTGTTTATCCTATCCAAGTGCATCACTACAAGCAATATAATACTAGAGTCAAAAATCTGTAAAGTATCTTCACATTTCCTACTATCCTGCCCAACATACATTTTTCTTTCTGTAATTTAATACAACGATCTCATCTGCCAGAGATGCAACCCTAAAAGATAGTTGCAAGAACTTAATACTTTTAACGAAGCAACAATATATTCTTAAAATAACTCACCCTTATAGGCCAGTTGCTCTCTAGATATGTACTGTGAATCTGAAGAAACCAAAAACAAACAAGTAATTATACCAAAATCCATTAGAGTTGTGATTAATTAGAATGTTTTAACAGAATTTGTACAATATCCATTGTTTTGCAGATCATTGACTTAGGGGTTTTTAAGTGTTGTGGTTTCTTTTCTAAATACAAGTGCTTTCCCCCCCGCCTCCTTAACATTACAGAATAGCAAGTGTTAGTTTGTTTTTAATACAATATATATAGAAAAGTATTAAGAATACACAATGGCTAATGCTACACTATGGATTAAGAATCAAATTTGTACATTTCTTGCCCCCCACCAGAAACTTCTGCTACATCAGAACCTTCCATGGGAGTGTGCTATTTTTCATAAACCCAGCAGGCAGGCAGGGTGTTTCAGTGTCAGGGTAAAATTTCTAATCCAAGCAGAAACACACCCTGCCAGAGCCATGAGGGCATGGCGACGAGGGCACTTGCCGGAGATGTGTCAAATTAAATCTTGATCCTGGATTTTTCATGTCACCTAGAATAATACAAATCCAAGATCAAGCTTCAGTCCTCAGTTTGACAAAAGGCAGGCAAGTCTGACTTGACTGAGGCAAGTGCCCTCATTACCAAAGCACTAAGCTGTTCTCATGGGTATGAGGCCCGTCACAAAAGTTTCAGCTGTGTTACTTTTCTTCCTAAATAAGATGAAGGCTTCCCCCTCCTATCTTATTTTCAGAGGACAGGACAACTACCTGGACAGTCAGAGTAGAAATTCAAGTTTCCAAAATCTGATATACATGCCTAGCATGAAATGCAGTTTAATAATACTGACCCATGCACTACGTGAAAAACTACGTGAAAAATCCTGGTATAATTCCTCTGAGCATAGGTTTTCAGAAGATCCTTAATTCAAGTGTGGAAGAAGACAAACTAAAATTACACATTAAAAGTTATTTAACTTGCCTTCAATATTACAGGAAAAGTAGGATCTGGGTCATTTATACTGCTAGAAACAGCTTCTTCTTCCCACATTTGATATTACAGAATCACAGAGAAGTTGAGGTTGGAAGGGACCTCTGGAGATCACCTAGTCTAGCTCACC